CAACCTCCTCATCCCTACCCGACACCAGAGGCGAGACAGGCAGGGATTCCCACCGCGCTCAAACCGGAATTAATTCACCCCGAACATCACCACTGCGCTTAGCACATTTGAAAACGTGTTGCTGATAAAAAGTTATTCCAGCGGAGAAGCGATAGCTAATCAAAACGTCGGATTACAGCTTCATCAGCCGCCTGCACCGCGGCAGGGGCAAAGCTCCCGGCACCACCGTGGCCGAACCCGCCGGCAGGGGCCTGGCTGACCCTCACCGTGGCCTCGGGGCACCGGCCCCAGCACCAGGAAAACCCAAAAATCACCTTGGCTCCCGAACCAGCGGCCGGTAGCAAGTTTCCCAACTGATAGGCTGCAGCGACCTGGGAAACTGTGAGAATACAAAAGGCGTACACTGTGCTAATTATGTAATTAGAACATGTAATTATTTAGTGCAAGAACTAAACTGAATCCAACTCACTTTTAATATTCAAATTAGAGCAATCTTGGCTTGATGCTGCTTTTGACTCTCCGAACAAAGCAGATGCCAGGGCTGCCGGGGGAGCATTGTTCCCAGCCCCTCCAACACTTACTCCCTACTTGGAAAACCAAGGTTTTTCTATTGCACCGAGTCACTTCCCAGCACAAAGCAGGGGAAAAAAAACCCCAAACCACCTGAAGTAGGTGCCCAGATACCAGTGGCGAGCACAGGATGAAACCTTGGCTGCTCAGAGCCCCTCCATCACCCCTGCACCTAAGCGGCATCTGGGACGCAGAGCCCGGCCCTCTCCCGGGGAACTCCGATTTGGCCTTTCCTTTGTTCCAGGAAACTGGAATTTCTCAAAAGCCATATGTATTCCCCATCTTCAAATCATTAATCCCGAGCAGCCGCTCGGCTCAGACTGCTGATCGGATCCTGCTGACCAGATGGGGAAACTGAGGCAGGGCCAGGGACGACGCACACGCTGCATCCGCACACGCCACGGCCGGCGACGGGGAGGACGCCACAGGACCAGGGGTAACGGTGGCTGAACCCTGCCCCACGCCGGCAGCTCCACGGCCACGAGCAGCTCGGCTGACGGCAGCCGGGACCCGGCAGCGCCCGGGCCGGTGCCGGGAGCTGCCGGGAGAGGAGATGCTGCGCACGGGGGAGGATGAATCTAGGCCGCCCAAACGAGAGCAAGGCGGCTCGGAGACGGCTCCCACCGCAGGAGCAGCGCTGCCCCTTCCCTTCCCCCGGCATCTCGGCACCATGAGATGAAGCTCAGAGCAGCCGGCCCCCCCCGGGTGGGCAGAAAGCGGGGTGCGGAGGTGGGGTGCCCCTTTCCCAGCCCGCCTGCGGGGTGCCCATGGCCGGGATGCAGGTGCCATCCTCGCAGCACCCTCATCGGATTAGCAAATGCCGCTGGAAGCACTCGCACGTGGATCCAGACCTGCGAGTGAGCCCCTAAATACGCATTTACCTCCCTGGGAACAGCCCAGAGCCGGGGGTCCCCCCCGCGTGCCAGCCAGCCCGCGGCTCCTTTCAAGCCCAACAGAAACTCCAGAGTTATTTCCAGCTCCAAACTTTGCAGGGGTCGCATCCTGGTCCTGCTGGTGGGCCTGGCTCTGCTGCGGCGCCGGCCCGAGCGCGGGGGCTGGCAGGGGCCGCAGCCCCGCTCCCCGGCATCTCACCGGAGCAGCACCCGCAGCACGCCGGGCTGTTGACACCTCCGGTTAAAATTATACTCGCTGCCGCACTGGTGCGTTCTCCGGGTACGGTGGCCGTGACCGAAGCGACTTACAGCCACGGCATGTTTTCAGGCATTAGCCTGGAACGGCGATTAATGCCGGAGCAGAGCCGGGCGATGGCGAGGACCCGGACGCCGGCTGCGCCCCATGGCCCAGGGCAGCCAGGGCATCCCCCCTCCGGGGGCTGGGGACGCGCCGGGCAGAGGGGCCGCTTGCGTGGGGCGCGGAGCACGGAGGGAGCCTTGTGCTGCAGCGGGGGACCCCGCGCTGCGCCCAGGGCCACGGTGCGGCCGCATCGGGGCCCCCGGTAGCGCTGCAGCGGGGCCCGCCTGCAGCCACGGCAGGGGCCGC